GAGCTGCGGAACAATCGACAATCGCACAACTGTTGTGCGATAGTTTATTTAAAGGTGTGTCTCTAATCCTGCAAAAGATATAGCAAAAAGCATTTCATGGTATTTCTATTAGCCCAATTTGTATATATTTTGTGGGAAAGAGTTAATCTCAACAATCGATCAAAGAGACCTATAGTTGAGATTCGATAACGAACGATTCGAACGGTAATCGAGTTGTTTCGATAGTATGATGTATTTATAGTCCGGTCTTGAACAATGGACCGAGTCGAGAGGGAAAGCGCTCCGGGCAACGGCTCACCTTGGCACTGACGTATTAATAGTGCACTCTGAACGGACTTAGCACTAGATTGTTGTGAAACGGAAATAGACGTAGTGACAAAAGTTTTGCATTTAGAGTCAACAAGAATGCTTATGATATAGTCGAATAGATATACCAGAATCTTGACGTTAAAACGTAACGTTTGTTTGTTAAGAATTATAACTACGGTTGATATCGCGCCGCCAGCGGATTTTTTTTTATACAACTAACAGGTAGTTTCCTTCGACAAGTCTAAGAGAGTCAATAGATTATTTTCAACAAGATTATTGCTACGGTTAATGTTGAACTGATAATTGATAACTATAACTGAAGTGTCAAAGAAAGTTATTTTCAACTGTCTAGTCTATTTATTGTATCTCTTATATGATTTTATCTTGAATTTCTATTTAATAAAAATGAAGAAAACGTATGTAACAATAATGAAATATTGAATAAACATTTTCCACCCCCGGCATGAGATGCCCTCGACCTCGCCCGCTCTAATCCGGTAACGTTAACTCGTATCTACTCCATTCGAGATAACTTCTATTTATAAATCCATTAACTTTTATTTATATACGATAAAAGTTTTAACTTTTATTATGTAATACAAGTTTATATTATATAACATAGTAATTAATAACCGGATTGTTAAATGCGCAAAGGCAACTGTATAACATGAAAACACAAAATAAATATTAAAATATGTATTCATCTAAAATAGTTAATGGTGAATAAATAATGTGGTATATAATTCGAGTATATAATGAGGTGTACATCGTGATCCATCACAAGTCTCTTACCGGAAGTCGCGTGACGCGCACGCGATGCTTTGCGTTTACTAAGTTAGGTGCTAAGTTTATGTAACTGACGATAACTTAGGTAACCGAAGGATAAGGATATTTATAACCGAAGCTTCGATAAGTTTCGGTACGTTTTGATATTCTAACAGCAAATTCCCACTACCTAAACACACGTATTAAAGCATTTTTATACCGTTAAAAAAAACAAAAATAAAAATGTGAATTACGAAAGTGTTTCGGTATAGTCTAACAGTAAAACACTAATGAAATGCTAAGTTACTGTTAAGCAAGTTATATTGCACAAAATCAATGGCAGAACCATCGATTTTCACGGTTTATATTCCGTAACTTGTCAAAACTATTACGTTGTCAAAAAACGAAACTTTAACCATTGATCTAGGCTATCTTGTGTTATTTTTATGTTTTATTTTAAAAGCGGTGATTAGGAACATTCTCTTTTTATTAAATTAAATAAACGAGAAGATACTACTTTTATATACACAGTTCAGATTTCACTTTAATGTATTCAGACACGTTTTATATTTGTAATCAAAAATAGTGTTATTACAGAGATGCGATGATCGCGTGTGGGTCACACCTACATATTCGGCGAAAAATATCTCTATTGCGTACGTGACCTATGCTATGCTTAGCAAATATAAGCATAGCATAGGTCACGTTTATGTTTTGTGTTAAATTCGTCATTTACCTTACAGAAAAGCTTCCAATGAGTTTATAAAGCAGGAACTCGAATCACACCAACGTCACCAACTTAATCCAGCGTTTACTAATGCCCAGACGCGGTTGTTTTGTGGCAGATTTAATATTGTTTACCGCTACGAGTTACGCGAGTGCCTTTTGGTAGTTTATAGCTATAAATAGACAAATGACTTACGATCTTGGTGTTAAGATGCATCAGCTCCCGCTCGGTGACCCGACGCCGCGCTGTCTCCATTTGCTGCTGCCTATACTGGTTGTACTTGTACAGCAAATACATCCCGGGCAGGGCCAACACCACGAAGGGTCGCATTAAGCTTGACGAAGAGGACGCGCGTTGAGGCATCTTTGTATTATCATTATTCCCTTCAGTCTAACTAGGCACACACATCACCAATCCTCATGAGGCAAATCTCACAACTCGATATGAACTTTATGACTATTGCCATAGGATTCATCTTGCACTATCACAACGTCTACTCTATAGACTTTGGAAGAATTTGTACGCACTACGACTAGACTATTAGCACTCTTATAGCGTCACTATCCTACGGGGTTTCTACGTAAAATGGTTTTTATTGCTTTAATAATAGACCTATTTTTACATTGCTGTGTTGTTTAACCAATTGCTTTTGGCCGGCATCTGTAACAAAAAAAATACGCTTAAAAATGCTTATGTAAACAAACTGTGATAAAGCAAAAACATTTTTTGATACAGACGAATAAGTAATGTAGGTAAAAAAGTATTGATATCCAATTTGGCTGACATCACAAGTAGAAGTATTGGATTATCATGGAAAATTAGTTTTTCCGAAGCTGCCTTTATAGTAACGAGGTAATTTGCCTAAGCCCGAAATAGAGGCAATAAGCGGCCAATAAATTGATTGATAGCTTCCTCTGGGGAATTACGTTGACATATGATGTGCAATTTCTTAGAACATCAATGTTACGAGTATTTTACGAACATTTTTCTCGGGCAACAACTTCATTGTGTTTCAGAGTTTTAATAATAGTTTTATTATTCTTTTTTCATTTAATTACTGACCTTCAAAATTTCAATTTGGCAAGCGGTCTAATTGAATTTCTCTATATTCATATTTCTACCCAGCAATATGATTGTATCGAGATTATTGGAATCAATTAATTGGTCTCGAAACAGTTCCAAATTATATTGAATGATGCTTAAAACAAAACACAAATTAAAAACTCGGCGACACTTTAACCCGACCATAAAATTAAGATTTTTCCTATTCTTTTTTTTTTACAATATTCATCGTTCAAATTAAAAGTGGCCAGGTCGTTTAAGGTGTATAAAATGTTCAGTAGGCTCTTCAACGTTGGAAGAGTTGATCGGACCACTTCTGGTGCTCCAATTAACTGCTGACGTAAAAAAATTTCATTTTATTCGCTAGAAAAAAGTTATAAGCTTCAAAATTTGCGATTTATATTTAGTAATTTGGAGTACATAGGCTTGTTCGTTAAATTATTGTTTAATTATATTTTTCCTCAATTCTACTTATAATCCAATCTCGTAATAACCCTTTGATAAAAATCTTACTTCTTACTAATATTATAAATCTGGAAGTTTAGATGGATGTCTGTCAGAGTTTGTAGTCTAAATGACAGAACGGATTTCAATGAAATTTAGTGTAGATGTAGAGGATAGTCTGGAGGAATACATACGCGGACTGAGTCGCCGGCGAAAGCTAGTATATTAACAAGGCTCTTAGGCTTTAGGTCTTATTAGAAAATCGGTAACAAATTATATAAACTTAAAACACAAGTAAGAAAAAAGAAACAAGTCTTGCAAACAGGAAACTTGTAGCATTTTGTGACAGATATTGATGTCTATATAGACAGCGGTCGAATCTATCGGGACCTATTGGCTATACGGTATTAGCCCGTGCCAGTCGACGCCACATATTGCCTCGACAAGCCCCGGATCTCCTACACGCCACAACGCCTCCCCACTCAATAACCGTATCTTCGAGAACACTCGCTATTTATGTAGCTTTTTAGAACTATTGACGATCTTAGTTGTACTTGTTATAATAATAAATTGTACCAATTTTATTAATACCCAAAACTACTATTTGTCTTGTTTTGAATTAAAAAACAAAACAAGTTTTTAAATCTTCCAAAGCTAAACGTTTTGGGCCTGTCCCACCACTGGTTGATAGAGGCTAAGATCGCTTAAAAATGACGTCACTGTCAGATAAAGTAACAAAATCCGATATTTCTATCACATGTTTGACACGTTGGATAGTTATCAGCCAGTGGTAGGACAGGCCCTAAAACTTTTATATACTAGCTAACAACATTTTTAATGTTTTAAAAAAACATCTTATAGTATTTTTAACATCTCGCGGTCATATATAAAGTAGTGGTAGCATGGTAGGAATCTAAGCGAAGCAATCATGTGAAAACCATTTCATATCGGGAGCCCGGGGACGGTATCCGCTGACTAAGGTAACTCCCAAGTCAATTTCAAATAGTTTTATTTTTCATGAGCTAAACGGAAATTAAAAAAGAAACTAAAATTATGTCATTTCACAAGATGTTTAGAATATGTTAAGAAATTATTAGAATGAAAAAAGTTTTTGGTACAAAAATAAGTACCAAGTCATTAGAATCGTACAAATTACTAGCTGTTGCTCGCGACTTCGTCCCCGTGAAGTAAAAAATGAATAATGGCCTATGTTACTCACTGATAACGTAGCTTTTTAATAGTATAAAAATCAAATTCG